TCCTATGTCGACAAGCTGCGAAGGCGCTTCATCGACGAGGAGCAGACTGGTCGGCGTCCGAAGACACCTGTTTCCGTCGACGCGTATGCCGAGCTGACTTTCGACGACGATGACTTTCAGTCGCGCGAAGAAGAGGAGTATCGTCAGAAGGTCAGTTCGCTGCAGTTCTCTGCCACAACAACTCGGCCCGACATCGCTTTTGCGTGCAGCAAGCCGGGATCTGGTCTGACGATGAGGAGCGATAACCACTTCGAGGTCGACCGCTGCCTCAACTATCTCTCGGACACGCGTGATGTTGCTCTGGAGTTCGGAGGAGGACCGGAGACTCTGACACTGGTCGGCTACGCGGACGCTGACGACGCAGGCGACAAGCAGAATCGCACTAGCACGAATGGCTACGTTTTCACATTCGGCGGCGCAGCTGTCTCCTGGACAAGCCAACGCATTAAGTGCGTGACTCTGTCCTCTACGGAGTCAGAGTACATCGCGGCCACTGAGGCGGCCAAGGAGGCTCGTCGACTTCGATTCCTCCTCGCCGAGTTCCAGCTCCTCGATGCTGGGACGCCAACTACTCTGAACGTGGACAATTAGTCCGCCATCGCGGTCGCTGAGGGCTTGGGGCTGAAAGGCAACCTCAAGCACATGGAGCGACGCTACGCTTGGCTGCAGCAGATGGTGAAGTGCAAGAAGGTTGCGCTGGAATACATCCCAACATCCGAGCAGCCGGCGGACTTCCTCACAAAGGGTCTGCACTTTCCTTCCGGCCTTCCACACCGGTGCTCTATCGCGATCGGCCAGGTTCGCCTTACCGGCGTCGGCGACAACGACGGCGTGCAGCAGTAGGTGCCATGTCCTCTAACATGGCTGGTGCGGTGGTCGGCGTGCGGGAGTGTGCACGCCAGAGAAATGTCCCCTTGTATTTTATTAACTAGGTTCTAGGTGGACCTTGTGTGTGGGTGCCCAAGCGTGAGCTGGGCAGGGGAGTGTCGAGGAGAAAAGGCCCCGCCCTCGCTTGGGCGAAGTCGGCCATGCTTTTCGGAGCACAACGGTGTTCGTTTCGTGGTCGCGACTTCAGGGACTTTTATCTCTGACTGACGGGTCGATTTTCGACCAAATTACTTCGTCGAAATTGAAGTGCTGTTTCTGCTCTACACAACTGCCCCTCGACGAGGCACTTGTCGAGGGGAGCAAAACGGCGTCCAAATCGAGCCTCGCGGGTCGACGAAATGGTAGAAAAACACGTTTCGACGAAACAGGTCGACAGAATTAAGCTCGAAACAGGCACCGTCGAGCAGAGCGCCCTGTCTTGCTGTCTCCCCCAGCCCTGCCTTGCTTGTATAGCGCACGTGCTCCTGCCCTGTGGCATATTTTTGATTCGAAAAACACATTCTATTCTACCTCAGTCTCCCCCCCCCAGCCCGCCCTGCTTGCTGTGTAGAGCGCACGTGCTTCTGCCCCCTGGCATATTTTTGAGTCGAAAATACATTCTACCTCAGTCTCCCCCAGCCCTGCCTTGCTGTGTAGAGCGCACGTGCTTCTGCCCCCTGGCATATTTTGAGTCGAAAATACATTCTAAAATCATTCTACCTCAGTCTCCCCCAGCCCTGCCTTGCTGTGTAGAGCGCACGTGCTTCTGCCCCCTGGCATATTTTTGAGTCGAAAATACATTCTACTCTCAGTCTCCCCCCAACCCTGCCTTGCTGTGTAGAGCGCACTGCTCAGCCCCCGTGGATCGGCGGGCACATCATTGCTGTGTATGAGACAAGCCCACGTCGCTTATCCTCCCTCCCCCACCCCTTTTTCCCCCAAACCCCCCTTCTTCCATGACTCATACAGAACCCTCCGGCCTTGCTAGGAAGAGACGTGTGATGAGGTTATTTTTTAGACGTCTCAACAGTAACATTTTTCCCCCAAACCCCCCCCTTCTTCCATGACTCATACAGAACCCTCCGGCCTTGCTAGGAAGAGACGTGTGATGAGGTTATTTTTTAGACGTCTCAACATAACATTTTTCCCCCAAACCCCCCCCTTCTTCTTCATGACTCATACAGTATACCCTCCGGCCTTGCTAGGAAGAGCTCACGTGCTCCTGCCACCCGGCATCGGCGGGCGCATCATTGCTGTGTACGAGGACGAGCCCACGTCGCTCATTGCGTACGCCATCTCGTCCAATGAGTACTACCGCGCCGTGCATGGCGCCGCCACTGTCGTGGTGCCACTGGCCACAACTGCTGCCCACACTGCCATTGCTCAGAATGCCGCTAGTTCTGCTCGTGCGCCTGCTTCTGGTGGTGCTGCTGCTGCTGTCAGTAACACGTCTGCTGCTGGGGGAGGGGCTGGGAGTGGTGGTGCGGGTGCGGGTGCTGGTGCGGGTGCTGGTGCGGGTGTGGGTGTGGGTGTGAGTGTGGGCAGATAGGGAGTGTGTTTGGGCCTGGAGTGTCAGCCAAGGGGGTAGGGGGGAGTGGGAGAGTGGTGGAATCAGAGGTGGTGGGGGCTAAGGCAGTAGGCGAGCTGGTCAGGCAAGCCTCTTCTGCTGCTGCAGCTGCTGCAGCGGCAGCGGCGGCCATGGCAGCAGTAGAAGCAGATGATAAAACAGGAGGAGGAGCAACGGAAGCAGGATCAGGAGGAGGAGGAGCAGCAGCAGCAGCAGCAGCAGGGCCAAGCCGTGCAGGTGCAGCAGCAGATGCATGTGGAAGCGTTGCTGCCCCTACACCTGATTCTGCAGCTGAAAGCACTCGTCGCACTGATGGCTCTCCACCTGCTGCTGCTAGGGCACCAGGACCCACAGCAGGCTGCATAGAGACTGCAGCAGCAGCAGATGCACAGTCCACAGCTGCAGGGGCAGCAGGGGGGAAACGAACAGCAGGGGAAGGAAGCGAAATCGATTGGGAGGCGAGAGGGGGAGGGGGAAATGGAGCAGAGTTGGCGAGCTCAGGTGCTCCAGCAGCTGCAGCAGCAGCAGGAGCAGCAGGAAGAGCAGGAGCAGCAGGAAGAGCAGGAGCAGCAGGAAAAGAAGCGTACGGGATGGCTGCAGAAGGAGCGGCCAGTGAGGCTGTGGAAGAGGCTAGAGCCCTTCGCGAAAGAGATGGTGGAGGAGGTAGCGATGGTCGGAGATCTAGAGAAAGTAGTACTAGCGATAGTGCAGCAAAGCAGCAGCAGCAGCAGCAGCAGCGCCCTGTGGCAGTGGCAGTCCGGTGCCCGACGGAGGGCAGGCCCGGCAAGCCCATGCGCTGCACGCTGCTTCTGCACAGAGTGCTGTAGAGGCAGGTAGAGAAGATGGTGAGGGAGTGGAGAGCGGTGGGGTTAGATCTAGTGCCGAGCTGAGAATGCTGGCAGGAGCAGAGAGGGATGGTGCTGGTCCTGGTGCTGGTGTTGCTGGTGATGGTGATGGTGGTGGTGCTGACACTGCAGGCGTGACACAAGGGCTGAAAGATAGACTGGAACAAGATAGACTGGAACAAGATAGACTGGAACATGATAGACTGGAGCATGGGTCCGTGCCTCAAGACACGTCTGCGACTGCAAGTGCTGATAGTGGTGGGGGTGCTGCTGGCGAGACTTCTTTTGCCACTGCTGATGGGCGTGGTGATGTGGGAGGAGAGGAGGGAGCTTGCAAGCAAGAGGAGACATCATCACAAGACCATCAACCAGCATCCTCCATGCAGCACGAACAAGTGCAACAAAAACCTTCAGAAGCAGCATCGGAACCGTCACAGTCCAGGCAGAAGAACCATACAAAGCACAACCAGAAGAGAGGCGAGCTGGGGGAGAGACAGAGCCAGTGCCAGTGCCAGTGCCAGTGCCATCGCAAGGGGAACCGGAGCCCATGCCATCTCGGGGAGAAGCGGCTCCAGTGCCGTCCCGGGATGAGCCATTGCCATCCCGAGAAGAGCCAGTGACAATGCCCACTCAGGAGGACCCGCTGCTGTCCCGGGAGAAACGCCACGTGAAAGTGGCATTCACAGTGGGGGGAGGTGACGATACCCTGCCCTTCCCCGCACTGCCCTTCCTCCCCGGCCCCACCACCAACCCCACCGGCACCACGGGCAGCAGCAGCGCCAGCAGCGGGATTAGTGGCGGCATTAGTGGCAGTGGCATGAACAGTGGCGGTATGAGCAGCGGTGCGTCAACGCCAGTGGGTGCTGGTAGCAGTAGCCGTCGGCGTGGGATCGGCGGTGGCGTTGGTGGGGGGAGTGGCTCTGCAGCATCGTTCCAGGTGACTGCCTACTTCGCCAAACAGTTTGACGCGCTCCGCCGCAAGTGCTGCTCTCCCTTCCCCCCAGCCACCGCCACTGCCTCATCCGGCCAGCAGAAGGCTGTAGCTGACACAGGAGAAGGGGCAGCAGGGTCGGCAGGGGCAGCGGGGGCGGCAGGGGCAGGGGCGGCAGGGGAAGGGGTGGTGGACGGGAGTGGCGATGTGGAGTTTGTGCGGTCGCTGTGCCGCTGCAAGCGCTGGAGTGCCGAGGGCGGCAAGAGCTCCGTGTATTTCGCCAAGACTGCGGACGACCGTTTTGTCATCAAACAGGTGGGTTGAACTCTCCTTTCCTCAGACTCTGGCCGCCCTCTGCCCTCTCCTTGCCTGTGCGCTCTCCTCTCCTCTCCCCTCACCTCTTCTCCGCCCTCGTTTTTGTTTATTATTATTATTGTTACTATTAATATTACTATTGTTATTATTATTATTGTTGTTATTATTGTTATTATTATTATTATTATTATTATTATTATTGTTATTGTTATTGTTATTATTATTATTACTATTTTTATTATTTTAATCTCCTATTTTTCTTCATCTCACAGTCAAGCCCTTGTGTTTCCGTCCACTCTCCCTCATCCCCGTTATAAGGTGCAACGCAAGGAAATACTGGCGTTTCTGGACTTTGCCAACGACTACTTCAAGCACCTGTTTGACGCCATCGAGTCCAGCAACCCCTCCTGCCTCGCCAAGATCCTCGGCCTCTACCAGGTGGGGTCGTGAGGGGGATTTGTGTAGATAGATGATGCTGATGTGTGGGAGGGATGTGAATGGTCCTTGTTTTGTACCAGTTGCTGTCGTGAGGGATAATATCGCTCTCTGCTTTTTGCTCTCTGCTCTCCCCTTTCCCTTCCTCTCTCCTCTCTGCACTCTCCTCTCTGCACTCTCCTCTCTGCACTCTCCTCTCTGCACTCTCCTCTCTGCACTCTCCTCTCTGCACTCTCCTCTCTGCACTCTCCCTCCGCTCCCTCTATGCACTCTCCTCTCTGCACTCTCCTCTCTGCACTCTCTCTCCACTCTGCACTCTCCTCTCTGCACTCTCCTCTCTGCACTCTCCTCTCTGCACTCTCCTCTCTGCACTCTCCTCTCTGCACTCTCCTCTCTGCACTCTCCTCTCTGCACTCTCCTCTCTGCACTCTCCTCTCTGCACTCTCCTCTCTGCACTCTCCTCTCTGCACTCTCCTCTCTGCACTCTCCTCTCTGCACTCTCCTCTCTGCACTCTCCTCTCTGCACTCTCCTCTCTGCACTCTCCTCTCTGCACTCTCCTCTCTGCACTCTCCTCTCTGCACTCTCCTCTCTGCACTCTCCTCTCTGCACTCTCCTCTCTGCACTCTCCTCTCTGCACTCTCCTCTCTGCACTCTCCTCTCTGCACTCTCCTCTCTGCACTCTCCTCTCTGCACTCTCCTCTCTGCACTCTCCTCTCTGCACTCTCCTCTCTGCACTCTCCTCTCTGCACTCTCTCTCTCTCTGCACTCTCCTCTCTCCTCTCCCCTCTCTCCTCTCTCCTCGCTCCTCTCTCCTATCTTTGCCCTATAACCTTCCATCCCGTGCATGCGTGTGTGAGCAGGTGACAGCAAAGGGCGTGACTATGGACGTGATGGTCATGGAGAACCTGCTCTACGGCCGTCGGATCACCAAGCTCTACGATCTCAAGGGCTCCCGTCGCTCCAGATACAACGCAGACCGCTCCAAGAGCAGGGTATGTGCGCAAGGGGTTGGGTGGGGTAGGGTGGGGGAACCTGTACATACACTTGTGGTTCCTGTACATGCATTTGTGATAAAGCATTCTCACATCAACTCCCCTTTTCCCCCGTCTCTTTCCCATTCTCTTCCCTCCTCCTCTCTTCTCCTCGCCTCAGGTACTGCTAGACGAGAACCTGCTAGAAGCCATGCCCACGTCGCCCATCTTCGTAGGGAAGCGGTCCAAGCAGCTGCTGGAGCGCGCTGTGTGGAACGACACGGCATTCCTCGCGGTGAGACGAGATGAGAGTGGTTGAGAGCAGTTGTATGTAAGATGGGTAAGCATTCACCTCCACGCAGCTGCTGGAGGGACGTGTGGGAACCACGCCGTTCCCCCATTGGTACAAAAGCGGCTGAGAATCGTTGAGAGCGGTTGAGAATCAGGTACGAAGGTAATGATTCACTCACCACCCCTCCCCACCTGTTCCGGTCCCTTCCCCACCCACAGAAACACGCCATCATGGACTATTCTCTGCTCGTAGGGGTAGAAGAGGAGCGCTCAACACTGGTGGTGGGCATAATCGACTTCATCCGCCCCTACACGTGGGACAAGCAGCTGGAAACATGGGTCAAAGCGTCTGGACTGCTAGGGGGAGGCGGGGCGGGCAAGGACTCTACTCCTACGGTGATCTCTCCTTCTAACTACAAGAAACGGTTCCGGAAGGCCATGCAGACGTACTTTGTGATGGTGCCCGATCAGTGGGTGCCGCGGGTTCCGGAGATTGCGACTACGGCTGCTGGTGTGGTTGTGCCTGCTGTGCTGCCGTCGAGGCTGGTGCAGCAAGGGGAGGAAACAAATCAGAAGCAGCAGCAGCAGCAGCCACAGCAGCAACAGTAGAAGCAGGTGTTGCAGTAGCAATGAGTTGCAACCCCGATTGCTGACGTTCTTAGTGATGGTGCTGGATCAGTGAGTGCCGGGGATTGCCACCACAACTGCTGGTGTGGTCGTGCCTGCTGTGCTGCCGTCTAGACTGGTGCAGCAAGGGGGGGAACTGGAGAAACAGCAGAAGCAGCAAGAGCACAAGCAGCTGCAGCAGCAGCAGCCGATGCCGCCTCCGCAGCAGCAGCAGCAGCAATGATAATGATTGCTAGCACGGCGGCTGGTCTTTTCATGTGTGTTGTGGCGCTGGTTGTTGACGAATAAGCACAGCCAGAGCAGCGGCAGGAAGAGGAGGGCGAACGCAAAGTAGAGCCTCGGCTCAGCAGCAGTAGATGCTCGTAGTAAGATGGGCAGAAGGGGCGGAGGTTATTGCCCCAAAACCCTGGATGGTTGTTAAATATGCTGTATATAATTGTTACTGAGGTGCCAACTAGGTATTTCATATTTTGCTGTTGATGCTCGACAGCGACTCAGCATCGGTTGAGATGAAAACTGCAGGCTTGCAATGCACTTCTCACCACCACTGGTACTGGGCTGTGGACCCATTTGTAACAACAAATTATGGAACCACATATCGGTACTATTGAAAGTAAGATGCTAGACGAGAGTAATCCTTGGGGCGGCTCAAAGAATGGTGTTAAACAGCTTGGCACCGGTCCTCTTGAATCATATCCTGCACTCTATCCAGCAGCACCTCATACGTCTTGGTCACATCTATCTTGGCCCCAGACAATCTATGATATATCCTCTCATAAGACCTACCCGGTCCCTCCCACCCCTTGCGATAGAAAATGATATTCTTCCCACCCCAATAGCTGGATAGTACTGATGTTCCCCCTTGCACACTGATGAAACAGGAGCTTCGGGCCATCATTCTAAACTGAACCTCGTTGAAACTTAGGCCCGGCCAAGCCTCGTGAATCTGCTGCATGGTTCGGAACCGAGCCTCCGAACCAAACTCCTCAGCCAGCCTCGTGTGGTCCCCCAAGTCGAACCTGTCTCCTTGCTCCGGGTCTGCCTGGATCGAATGCCCGGGCCGGTTATACACCACGAAATACCCCTTATTGAGAAACTCACGAATGATTATAAGGAGATTTGGGACATCAATGAAATTGGTAGGCGGTTCTGCCCATTCAATCTCATACTTGTTGCTTATAATCACAAGTGGAGCCCCCCCTATAGGAACATCCAGCCATACTCGCCCCAGCTCCCGTATCCGGTGCACTAATGGCGGGGGATGCCAATAATGCGGAATGTCGCTAAAATGAAGGCCCTTGGTGAAACCATACTGTTTAATAACGTAATTGTAATCGTTGGAGCGTTTACAGTTCGGGTCTGTGGAGTGGTTTGGGCTGAAATAGTAGAGGAGAGAGAGGGGGGAGGCACAAGCCCTGGTGGATCTGAGAGTTCCGTTGAGGAAATGCCAGTAGGCGTGAGGAAGGACTGCAATCAGCTCGTATCCAAACTCGCCCTTAAAGGAGATGTCTATAGCGGGGATGGAGTTGTTTGGTGGTGGGGTGGGTGACGGGTTGAAGGAGGAGTTGCAGGGGCAGACCCATGCGGGGGGGGTGTCATCTGGGGAAAAAGTTGGATGGTTGCAGGGAGGGGGAGAATGGGGGGCAGAATGGACGGGGGAGGCTGCGGGAAAGGGACAGTGGACAGATGGATGGATGGATGGATGGATGGATGGATGGATGGATGGATGGATGGATGGATGGATGGATGGATGGATGGATGGATGGATGGATGGATGGATGGATGGATGGATGGATGGATGGATGGATGGATGGATGGATGGATGGATGGATGGATGGATGGATGGATGGATGGATGGACGGACGGACGGACGGACGGACGGACGGACGGACGGATGGATGGATGGATGGATGGGTGGGTGGGTGGATGGATGGATGGAAAGAAGGCAGCCTTAGAGAGAGCACGGAAGTTAATGCTGCCAGGAGGATGGAGGATAAGGCATGGTGGAATCGCCTTTCAATAGAGGAGAGACATTCATGTCACTCACTTGAGCTACAATTTGATAAATTGCTGGCAGGTGCAGGCTCGGCAGCAGACTCGGTGGTAGGCTCGGAAGCAGGCTCGGTGGTAGGCTCGGTAGAAGGTTCGGAGGCAGGCTTAGTGTCAGAGCTAGCGTCAGGCTTGAAATTCGAACCAGCGTCTAGCTTTGCATCCGGCTCGGAAACAGTGACCGCCGTTGATTCTTCTGATGAAGCAGCATCGTGCGGTGGCGAAGAGGCCTCGTCATCTGCATGGGAGAGAAGCAGTGGATCGTTAAAAATTATCAAGAAGCAACTGATGTGCATGGAGGTGACTTTTGAGTCGACTCAAAAGCCACCTAAAAAAGTAATTCACGTGCTTGGAACAGAAGCCAGTGGATTGTTGAAATAATTAAAACACCAACTCATGTGCACGGCACGGAAGCCAGTGGCAGCAGTCGCACGTTGAGAACAACCTCATGAGAAGGAAAAGAATGGAGCGGAGTGATGAGAGGAGGCGGAGAGAGGGGGAGCGGAGAGGAGAGAAGGGAGAGAAGGGAGGGGAGAAGAGGGAGAAGAGAGGAGGGTGGAAGGGGGAGAAGGGGGAGGGGAGAGGGGAGAGTGGAGAGAGGAGAGGGAAAGAAAAGAGGGGAGAGAGAAGGAAAGGGGAGAGAGAGGGAAGGGGAGAGAGAGGAGGGAGAGGAAGGGAGAGAGAGGAAGGGGAGAGAGAAGGGGAGGAGAGAGAAGGGAAGGGGAGAGAGAAGGAAAGGGGAGAGAGAAGGGAAGGGGAGAGGAAGGAAGGGGAGAGGGGAAGAGCCCAAATCACGTGCGCACCAGACGCGGCAGCAAGGCGGGTTGCGAGAGAGAGGGCGAGGAGCAGGAGGAGGACGCGCCACGAGCGACGAGCGACGGTGGGTGACGAGGGGCGAGCGACGGTGAGCGACGACGGACGAGCGACGGTGGGTGACGGCTGACGCGCGAGCTGAAAGGGAGTGAGCTGCGTGGCGGCGGAAGCAGCAGCAAGGAACCTTCCGGAAACAATCAGGCCGCACGAGGCGTTGCGATCCTTTCCGCACATTGGCCGATAGATGATCAGACGAGGAGTTGCGGCCTAGGGGAGTATCTTTCATAAGTGTTTCTGAGTCGTCCAAAAAATCCTTGCCGCACATTGACCAAGTCCCAAGGTATCTCGTTCGAAAAGTGCTCTGAGACGTCGCTAGCGTCAGTTTCTGAGTCGACTCAGATTCGGACGTCACTAGCGTCGGAAAGCGCTACTTTACGCAGCGGTGATGCGTGCTACTTTTTTTTTTGCCCGCGGGCAGCGCGGTTGCGCAAAGCTTCCGCGTTGGTGGAAACGAACCCACCAGCTCCAGGCAATAGGTGGGTTGGTGCATTGATATTTCCGCGCCACCCGTAGAAACTGACTCGTATTCAGTTTTTATTGGCCAAAGTATTCTCTTCCAATTATTTGGGCTTCCCGTAGCAGGCTGTTCAGCCACGGGTCTGCAGAATAGATTCTTCGAGGATGCTGGGATCGCACGGCTTATTCCTTGCGAGGTAATTTAATTTTCTACCCTAACTTCCCTTCCCCAGTCGCATTGGACGTATCAATCCCAGTCGCAGTCCCAGACCCCGTTAGGTAGCACGGTTCAGGTGGTGGCTCACATGCACAAGCGAGCCGAGCTTCTAACGATGCCCGCAAGGCTTCCTTTGATGCGCCTCTAAAAAGACTCGGCTTCTGGCAAGGAGGCAAACGCTGCTCTTCTATCCCACTAGCATCACTATTCACGCCTGTTCAGGTTGAACAGCGAGTGGCAAGGAATGTGGGGAAATGTGTGGTGACATTGTGATCCACCCTGAGCTTGTACTGCTTTGCTTGCTCTGCTGATTACACCCCACTTTGGCTATGTGGGTGTGTCAGAATGCTATTATTGTCTAGCCTGCAGTGGGGTACTCTATAGTGAGTACAGCCCAATCTAGGGTTTGCTATTTGTACTCAACTGCCTGCTAGTTCATCCCCTCTCTCCTTTCAATCATTCTTGCCTAGTTCTTCTGACACGCGCGGCCCCCGCTGCCTCGTCGCGACGCCTTAGGGAGCCGCGCGCGGCCCCCCGCTGCCCCGTCGAGGCGCCCTGGGGAGCCGCGCGCGGCCCCCGCTGCCCAGAGGTGGCGCCCTGGGGGTCGCGCGCCTTCCCCCTCGCCGTCCCCCGCGCTCCTTCTCCCTTTCGCCCGTTTTAGGGTTTGGGGGTGGAGAGTGTGGGGGTGGCGGCTGTGGGGGTGTCGGTTGTGCATTACTCTACTTACTCCTCCTCCTCCCTAGTCTCCCTCTACTGCAGCTGCCGCTGAGGGGGGTGGTGTGTGGGAGTCTAGGGTTTGGGGTTTAAGGGGGGGTACCGTGGGAGTGGAGCTAGGGGTGAAGCAAGGGGTGTGTGTCGAGGGGTGTGGGACTGTTGGGGGAGGTTGAGCGGAGACTGCCGTCGTGTCGTCCGCAGCACCTGTATTCCGGGGTTCCGCGGACCTCCGGTAGCTCAGAGAGCCGGCTACACCTGTCGCCCGTGGGTCCGCTGCACCCTCCGCAGCGACCATTACCCCTGTAGTCCGGGGCTCTACTTCCGGTAGCCACTAGCGTTGCGCCAGAGCCGTCTGATGCCCGTGTGTCTGCAGCTTCAGTCGTCGCCTCCACTCCTTTCTCCTCTCGCCAGCCCTCCTCCTCCTCATTTGTCCTCTGTGACCGCCTCTAGCTTTGCTCATAACTTATAAACTGTTGCTTCTTGAACTTGTGCTCAGAATGTGTGGTGACATCGTGATCCACCCTGAGCTTGTACTGCTTTGCTTGCTCTGCTGATTACACCCCACTTTGGCTATGGGGGTGTGTCAGAATGTTATATTTGTCTAGCCTGCAGTGGGGTGCTCTGTAGCGAGTACAACCCTTCTAGGGTTTGCTATTTGTATCCCCATTCTTGCTAGTTCATTCTCTCTTTTTGCCTAATTCTCTCGACACGAGCAGGAATCGGCGACCGAGTACTGCAATCGAGCGCGGCGAATTTTGGCCGACATGCGGATGGCTGGTTTCGAGTACTCAGTGGTATCGTATGTCATGCATGTCATCAATGGCCTCACCTCGAGCTACAATCTGATGCGACGGATGCTGATAATGCCCGGCACGCGCGAGACTCTGAACGAGGATTCGCTTTCGAGTCACATCATCCAGGACGAGTTTATGCAGGAGTCTGAGCGGTCTTCAGAGCTCCTTCCGCAGGCTAACTATGTCGCTCCGGCGAAGCAGGGACGTCAGCCAGGGCACTGTGGGAAGTCGGGCGGAGGTGGAGGCGGCGGCGGCAAGTCGTCGAACACCAAGTCTACAGAGGGCGCCGACCGCGGGAAGTCGGCGAAGGGCACTGATCGCGGAAGCAGTGGTTCGCGTTGAGGAGGACGCCGCTGCTACATTTGCGGAGACCCTGACCATCTCTCGTATGACTGCCCTGACCGCGATGAGTCTGACGACGATCAGAGAGGAAGCCGTGGAAAGTCGGAAAACGCTCGTCGATCAGAGGATGGGAAGTCTGACAACGATCGTCAGCGTCGAGACAACAAGTCGCGGAAGGAGAAGCCTGCGTCGTCGAAAACGCCGTCGACATCAGAGGCTGGTACCTCGAGCGGAAAAGAAGCCTCTTGTTTGATGGTTGGCGTGGTCGAGCCAACAATTTCGCTGGCGCCGGAGGCTGGCGAAGACTTCCAAGCGGTCGCAGCAGCCGTGCAGGCGAATCCAACGGTGGTCCTCCTCGACAGTGGCTGCTCCCATCATCTGATGGGAACACGAGAGGCCTTCGTTGAAATGAAGCCAGGAGGAGAAATCCGTCACGTGCGCGGATTCAACGGGGCGCTTCAGAACGTCGAAGGCCGTGGCACAGTTGCACTGCAAGGGGAGACTAGGAAGCAGATTCTCATCCCCGACGTGTTGTACGTTCCGGGCGTGCACGCGAATCTACTGTCTGCTGGTCAGCTGAAGGAAAACGGCGTGAAGCTGCAGAACGAGGGTGACGAGATGCTGCTCGTTTCCTCTGCAGGAGATGTGCTCGGTCGAGCACGCTACACCGGCTGGGTCCTCTGCACCGACCTCCGCCCCTGCTCCTCGAAATCGACGACATCTTCGACAAAGGCAGTTGCTCTACGGACGATCGCATCTGCGACGAAGTCGACGCTAGACAAGTGGCACCCGAGGCTCGCGCACGTCGGCATTGACACGATTAAGAGTTCGGCGAAGCATGGTGTTGCCGTCGGCATGGACATCCAGAAGTCCACCGGAGCCGACCTGCCGTGTGCCTCCTGTGTCGGAGGGAAACTAGCGCGAAATACTTTTCCAGAGAAGGGATCGGACGCTGACAACGCCCTTGACGTCGTGCACATTGACCTCTGCGGCCCCTTCCGCATGGCCGCCATGGATGGAAGCCTCTACTTCCTTCTCCTCAAGGACCGCAAGACCCGCTTTGTGTGGGTCCGCCCGATTGCGAAGAAGAGCGATGTGCTGGTCGTTTTCGAGAAGTGGCTGAAGGAAGTGGAACGGCAGACTTCGAAGTCGGTGAAAAGGCTGCGCTCTGACCGCGGAGGGGAATTCCTCGGCCGGGCCTTCACCGATCTCGTCGAGGACAAGGGTATCCTCCACAACCTCACGTGCCCCTACACTCCGCAACAGAATGGCATGGCGGAGCGGGAAATGCGCACGGTCGTCGAAGCTGTGCGGACGATGCTGCTTCACATGGGGGTGAAGCATCACTGGTGGCACCTCGCCCTTCGCCACGCCGTCTGGGTGCGCAACTGCCTCGAACGGGCTTCACTTCCTCCGAGGACGACGCCGTACGAGCTGCTGTTCGAGAAGAAGCCGGATCTCACGCTGGCGCGCGTGTGGGGTTGCATGGTGCAGTTCATGATCCCAGAGCAGCAGCGCGGCGGAAAGTTGGCACCGAAGGCACGCTGGGGAATTCACCTCGGTGTGTCGCCGGAGAGCAAGGGATGGGAGGTGCTCGACCTTACCGCCAACCGCATTATCACAACTGTGGAGGCAATCTTTGTCGAGAGAATTAGGCAAAAGAGGGGCTGAACTAGCAAGAATGGGGATAAAAATAGCAAACCCTAGAAGGGTTGTACTCGCTACAGAGCACCCCACTACAGGCTAGAGCATAATATTCTGACACACCCCCATAGCCAAAGTGGGGTGTAATCAGCAGAGGAAACAAAGCAGTACAAGCTCAGGGTGGATCACGATGTCACCACACATTCTGAGCACAAGCAAGAAGCAATAGTTTAAGGTGCACAATTATGAGCAAAAC